TAATGACGGTGACGACTCCTGCTACTACTCATTAGGCACTTGGCAATATGTTCATCAGCATCATCTCATTTGACTCTCGTGACACGCTTCCCAGAAAGTCCTTTTACTACCCCATACCAGAGCAAACTCGGACTCTGCGGAGTTCAGCAACTGGCCTGGGAACTCAGCGTCCTCATGACTTGACCACCTCAGGCCAGGCGCCATCTTTAAAGGTCTCACTGCGTCCTCATATGGTTATAATAGGGACGAAGCTTTCAGCACGATTAGAGAGCAAGCAGGTGAACTCCGACCAGAGCAGCCGGGGTGTCTGGCTAAATCCTACCCCTTTGCTTCTGACCACATCACCCCCAGGGTGCTCAACCAGGCTCCACCTCAGGTGTCCACACCCTCTATCATTCCTTCAGGCCCTTGTTAGAGACTGAGTCAGACCGCCCAGCGGACCTGCACCTCATCTGCAGAAACTGACCTAACAAACCCGCCGCTCTTTACACACAGAGTTGGGGCAGTTTGTTGAACAGCCCTAGATGACCAGAGCAGATGTTATCAATTTCCTCTGAGACTTCTTTTGCTTCCAGGAACAGTTGATGGTCCAGGTGCAGCGGGTGGTGGTGGCCAGTCACCTCCATGTAAATAGAAACTACAATACTCGGGTCTGGCTTCTCAAAGTCCTAAAAGACAATTCCTTTTTGTTCTCATGTTGTCTTAAGCAACATTGTCCGTGGGCTCAAAAATGTTCTAGACATTTAGCAATTTGCAAACCTTTTGATCCAGAGAATCCTTTGTTTGAATCCAATGTTGATGGAGATTCAACCATGGAACCCAAAAAGCAAGATGTTGTCCCTGTGGGACGGAAGTTGAGGCCTGGGGTCTGCTTGGTCCTGAAGAGTTAGAGAGACTGTCCAGTACACATTCCTCAACGGTGGGACAGGGGCAGTGAGGTAAAGTAAGCATGCACCCAGGCATCCACCCAGGCATCCATCCATCCATCCATCCATCCAACAACTTCTCCCTCCCTTCTCTGAGCATCCTTCTATCCATCTTACCCTCTGTCCATCCACCCACCTACCCACCACACTGTCCGTCCATCCATCCATCCCCCACCCACACCACTATTTATCCATCCATCTCTCCTTCTGTCCATCCACCTACCCACCCCACCATCCACCCAGCAATCCATCCACCCACCTATCTCACTGTCTATCCATCCATTCATCTATGCACCCACCCACCCCATAATCCACCCACCCCACAACCCATCCACCCCACAATCCACCCACCCCACAATCTACCCACCCCATAAACCATCCACCCTACAATCCACCCTCCCCACAACCCATCCACTCTGTAATCCACCCACCCCACAATCCACCCACCCCACAATCCACCCTCCCCACAACTCATCCACCCATCAATCCATCCACCTACCTCACTTTCTATCCATCCATTTATCCATCCATCCACCCACTCCACAATCCACCCCACAACCCATCCACCCATCAATCCATCCATCTACCCACCTCGCCATCTGTCCGTCTATCCTTCCATCTGTCCATTCATCCGCTCACTCACTCAGGCACCTATTTGTTCATTTAACACAGTATCTAGAATATGAAGGGCAGGATGCTGGCTTCCAGGAGTGCAGAGACAACCGGCACATGGCCCCTACCTCCAGGGGTTCACACGTGGGTGAGGACGTAGACCAGGAGGGCTGCTCTGTGACCTGGTAGGACGAGGGCCGTCTGTGACTCAGGCGATTCCGAAGCAGGAGCGCTTCCTCTACCCAGATCCCCCCCAACTCATCTAATTTAGCGTCTCGTCTCAGGTTTCTCTACTCGGTTATCTAAAGTGAAAATAATGTAATTTCAATATGTCCTTGTACATTCCCTCTTAGGGACATCTCTGTTATCTGACTGTTGTAAAGATTTCAAAGGGACCCGAGGTCCCGCACTCCTGGAATTCTCATTAGCGAACCCGGGGAGACGGGCTGTGGGTTTCCTGCTTCCTTTCCCCACGAAGGACTCCCGCCACAGCCTGCTCTCCTGCCTGCTGGGCCCATCTTCAGCAGCCAAAGTGCCACCAGCCCCAGGAAATGAGCCCCTCGAAGCAAAATGATTAGCCTCGGCCTCAAACGGCTTTCAGAAGGTTTGCACACAATGCTACAGAGGGGACCAGGACCCACGGGGGTTTCTTTCTTTTCCCTTTTAGAAACCGGCTGGATCCCACCATCTTCTGAAGATGAATATTTCTGATGGGCAGATTTGCTTTGTAAATCACAGACGACTTGAGTGGCGTTTTTTTTCTCTTTCTTCTTACTGCTTCAGTGAACGGGGAATTAGACATATTTGCAATCAAATAAAATGTGAGGGCTCGTGACGGGTTGGAAAACTGACAACTCTCGGCTCAGATGTATAGAACGCCGTAGCGCTGGCCCCGTGGCTCCTGGGCATGCCGATGGGACAACACAAAGTAGCGCTGCAGTCGTGAAACGATGTAGCAGAGAACTAGTCCAGAGGTGGGAGAGAGTTTTTTTTTTTTTTTTTCTAGATATAAGAACAGAATGAATAAGTGCTAAGATGAGGAAAGTTTGCAGGCAACCAGTTTAGTGCCTGTCTCTTTGAATGCTCAATATTGCCGAACCAGCAGCTTGTTAAAGGGTTATGGTCATGACTAAAATAGACTCGCTGCCATCTTGGTGATATCTCCATTTCTGGACCTGCGGGACACAGGTGCCATATCCCTTATTTACTCTGATTGTCAGATGGTAAGTGGTGGGGGAAACTAAATCAAAGCAAGGGGTGAGGAGTGGTGTGTTTTGGGAAAATAATGTCCACGTGTACATCAATGGTGGCAATGACATTTAGGTTAAGTGACTTAGTAGTTCTCTCTCTCTCTGTACTGGGGATTGAACCCAGAGATGCTTTACCACTGAGCCACATCCCTAACCATCTTTATTTTTATTATTTTTTTTTTATTTTGAGGCTAGTTCTCACTAAGTTGTTGAGGCTAGCCTCCAACCTGCCATCCTCCTGCCTCAGCCTCCCGAGTTGCTAGGATTACAGGAGGGCATCAACTTGCCTTGTGACTTAGTCATTTTCTACTGCTGCCATCATAAATCATCACACATTTGGTGGCTTAAAATAACACAAATGTATTATATGGAAGTTTGAAATGGGTCAGCAGGACTGTGTTCACTCTGGAGGCAATGGTGAGACTTGGTTTTCTTGCCTTTTCTATTTTCAGAAGGCTGCTTGCAATCCCCGGTCTTGGGACTTCTCCAGCCCATCCTCTCCCCTCCAAAGACAGAGGGGTGAGGGGACAGTAGAGGGTCGGATCCAAGAGATGTCACAGGGTCATTCCACAGCATCGCTGGTGGGCTGGGCATCCATTTGTTTAAGAGGAGAGGTGGTCTTGCTGGGTAAGAGTGGGCAGCACGGGGCTTAAAGCACAGGGGACAAAGCGGTACACTTGGACAGCAGCTGGGGCTCTCCCAGGAACTTTGATTTTTGTGAGAGGCATTTTCTTTTTGTGGTGCTGGGGATGGGACCCAGGGCCCTGAGAATGCTAGGTCAGTGCTCTGCCACTGAGCCACATCCCAGTCCTTTAACAAGATTATTTTAAGACAGGGCCTTGCTAAAGTTGCTGAGGCTGGCTTTGGATTTGAGATCCTCCTGCCTCAGCCTCTGGAATAGCTGGGATTACAGGTGTGTGCCACCATATCCAGCTCCAAAACCATTTTTAAAATTTCAGAATCAGGTAACTAACTATTTCTGAGTGATCCATCACGTCAGTGCCCCAAGTGGCACTGAATTCCCCTGGCATCTGCCAACCCTAATGGTACATGTGGCCAGTGGGTTTCCTGGCCCCAGCTCAGGCTCCCTGGATCCCATATCCTCTGCCTGTGTCATGAGGGTCACCTGGAGCTCACTGATGTGCCCACTGATCAAATGAAGCACAGGTGCCTGAGTTTCTTGGATTTTTTTCACCCACCAAGGACACAGTAGCTTCTGTTTCCTTGGTAAATCAATTTCATCCAAAACAAGTACCTGTGCGTATCTTTCCCTTGTTCTCGTGACCAGGAGGCTTTGCAAAGAACCTGCAGGTTCCTGTACAAGCTTTGCATTTCCGGATCTGGGTGCAGAGTGGACTGGTTGAAGTCTTTTACTGTTTTTCAGTTAGTTTTGTTTGTAGGAAGCCAAAGAGGCCTTGGTATCCCCAGGACAGGACCAGGGAGGCTAGCAGTTTTCTTCTTTGCCCCTGAGATCTGACATCTCTGGGGGTAGGTGGCATGGGGCATTGCAGCATGGCGGTTGCTGTGGACCACTGGGTCCCCCACAAGTCCTTACATTGACGCCTCCCCTTCAGTGCAATCCCGGTGAGAGGTCAGGCCTTGGGGGAGCCACGCTTGCCAGATAAGTGAACTTGGCCCAGGACTTAATTCCTGCCAGGCTCGGTTTTTCTCATCTGTAAAATGGGGACGGTGGACAGTCCTATCTCCAAGGGCAGTTACAAAGATTGATAGAGCAACGCGCGTGAAGGTTGGGAGCAGCGTCCTAGTTACTGCTGGAATCATTATCATTCAAGGGAGGACAACTGCTGTTAGAAAAGCAGAATGTTACTTTGTCCCGATCGCCACTGGGCAGGTGATACCACGGAGACCCACATGAAGTGGCCGAGCAGGACACAGGGCGGTGTGCGGCCTCCTGAGCCATTTCACTCCGACATTCCCCGTCAGGCACATCCCGGCCCCGGCTCCAGCCCATCTGGCCACCGCGCCAGTCCAGAGGAAGCGACAGGGGCAGCTGCTGGCCGGAGAGGGGGCGTGGGCAGCCCTCTGCGCCCCGCACCATTTAATCAGATGACCTCCAAAGCTGGCTTTTCCGGCCGACCATCCAGCCTGCAGAAGGGCAGCATTAGGGAGTTAATGAGGCTTGGCCAGGCGAGGGCCATCTGTTCTTAATTACCCAAGTGCACAGGGCCGGGGGCAGGTGGACGCGGGGGCGGCCGCGGGCTGCCAGCCTGGCCAAGTTGGCCGCCTTCTCCAGACGCCCGGATCCCCAGGTCCCTCCTGTCACCTCCCCTGCTTCTCCCACATCGGAGGCCGAGAAGCCGAGGTCAGAAGTGTGTGTCCAGCAGCAGAGACGCGAGCAGGGGGCGTGGGGCGTCCCAGGTCTGCCCCTCCAGGGGCCCAGCTGAGAACAGGGTCCTGGGGCAGGTGAGGTTGGGGGCGTTCCTGGGGAGGGGCGGGGCCGTGGGCAGGGCCAGGCCATGGGCGGGGCCGAGCTGGGAGCAGGCGGCTGCAGAGAGAGCGGATTGGTGCCCTGGAGGCGGCCACGTGGCCAGGAGGCATCTGGGGAGGGCCGCACCCCGAGGAAGAGAACGCGGATGGATGGCCAGGGCAGGTGGCCAGGTGGCCAGGCACAGGGGACCAGGGGCCCCCTTCTGAAAGAGACCAAGCCCACCCCGTCCGTCTTTACTTCTGGCTGGAAGCTGGGTGGTGCAGGGAAGGGACTCTGCCCTCAGGTGGGGTTGAGTCCAGGCTCTTGCACCGGCCAGCAGGCTCCTGGGCCTTCCCGAGCATCGCTCTCTGGTCCGCAGAGTGGGGACAGCAGCAGCTCCTGCCCTGGGGGCTCTCTGTGGGGATTCTGTGGGGCCCTGCATGCGCGGTCCGCGGACCTCGTCCTCACGGGGCGCTTCCTGACTGGGCAGGGCAGTGAGGGTGGCCGCCTCTGGCTTCCTTCTCTCTCCTCTCCTCCTTCCTCCTCTTCTCCCTGTTGCTTAGAGGAGGAGTCAAACCCACTTCTGGGTTGATGCTGTACTATGGAGACAATCACGTCTGTCTGTCTGTCTGTCTGTCTCTCTCTCTCTGTACAGTGGCTTGCCTGGCTTTTCTCTGAGACTCCTCTGCAAACACCACAGTGGAGGAGGAGGAAATCCGGAGCCAGGAGGCCCAGGATTCACAGGGGAGCTCTGCCTGTTACAAGCTGTGTGGCCTTGGGCAACTTACTCAACCTCTCTGAGACTCAGAGTTCTTATTCAGAAAATAATCAACTTGTGGCCATGCTGGAAAGGTTAAAGGAGATGATGTCTTGAATTTAGGCCATGTTCGATATGGGGACTCAGAGTGGACTTGTTTGACGTTCTGGTACCTGAAAATCAGTTTCTTTTCTCACATTCAGTGCGGGTGGATTTGGATTTGAGTTGAGTTCAGTCACTTTTGCCTTGGACTCTGGAACACTTGGCTTATCTCTGTCCCCAGTTCGGCATGACTTTGGCCTCCTTAGCTGTTGGGTCAGGGAATCAGGGTTTTGCTGTGGGTCTTCTGATGGCACCCTGGCTGCCCTAGTGTTCAGGTGTCACAAGGACTTAGCCTTGCTCAGGAGCTGTGGTGGATCCTTCCCCTCCTGTCCCCATCTGTAAGATGGACCCGTTGACATGCTGCTGTTGGCATCAGTGTGCAGATTAAATTAGATGATACGGCTTAGCCTAGGGTCTGAGGGAGGGGAACAAGTGGCAGACCATGTCATCAATGTGGTGGTGACAACCACACCCTGTGCCGCTGAGGGAACCCAGACCTTCCCGTGATTCTAAAGAGTTAATCCAACAAGCAGAGCCGCCCGCCACTTCCAGGCCCCGGCTCCAGGCTGCAGTCATTTACACCCTTAGATCTTTTTTTTTTTTCCACAGTTCTTCAAATACTTTATTGTTTTTTAGTTATTTTATTTTATTTTTTTAAAGAGAGAGTGAGAGAGAGAGGGGGACAGAGAGAGAGAATTTTAACATTTATTTATTTTTTCTTAGTTCTTGGCGGACACAACATCTTCATCTTCCTTTGTATGTGGTGCTGAGGATCGAACCCGGGCCGCACGCACGCTAGGCGAGCGCGCTACCACTTGAGCCACATCCCCAGTCCTTTTTTTAGTTATTATTTCTTTTTTTTAAAATTTTTATTGTTGGTTGTTCAAAACATTACACAGTTCTTAACATATCATATTTCACACTTTGATTCAAGTGGGTTATGAACTCCCATTTTTACCCC